ATTTAACATATCCAAACAAATAATAACCATATACAATGAATATTCTATTAGTTATTCAGTTCCCACAGAAAGTAATTTAGAGTACTTAGTACTTACTTAAACAAATTTGGCCCTAACACACGCAATTTTGATTACAGTKATTTTGTATATTTATMATTTTTTTGTTATCACATCTTAACTATTAAATCTTGGTTATACAGTATGACCACTATGTCTAATATTGAAAACAAAAATTATTTATTAAATAAGATATCTAGTTTTCTTAATTTTAAAGCATTTGTTGACGTTGTTCAATTACTGGAGGGTGTTCAATAACTGGTCTGTTCACCCTATATTATTTATAATTATACCTAGTTAAAACAATTATTTTCATACAAAGAAAATAATACATTATATAAATATTTTGATAAAAATTATTACGCTATTGGGTGAATTAATTTTTTTAATAAAATATCAACTTAAAATTTTAAATATAACTAACAATAAAACACAAATGTTGTAAAAAAATTAGAAAAATTATGATGAAAAAGTACACACTTTTATGATTACTGTATGTAATCTTGAGTAAAATAAATGAAACAAACTATGAAGAATAACAAAATCATGATGGAAATTTGTAATTTAGAGGCACATGGTTACTAATGTTAATTAATTGTGTACACAAAAAATCACTAAAGTTAAATTGTATATAAAAAAAAAAATGAGAAATGGGAATTGGTGCCCGCATGCAAAAAGTTTTCAAGAATCAATTAAAAAAATTGGAATAATTATAGGATAAGAAAACATACTAAAGACTACAGTATGTAATCTCAATTAAAATAAATGAAATAAACTGTTAAGAAGACCATTGAAATCATCTTGAGTGATATATATTTTTTTTTAATTAAACCCTCCTGTTGGTGCCGGTAGGCAAATGATTTTCAAGATTCAGATAAAATTGTGCACATTCAAAATATAAAACTAATTTTGATCAGAGGATGCATTATTTACTTTGATTGACATTAGTTTTTATGAAATACTGGTACAACCTTAATTTGGCTCTAAAACCATGTTCAAAATTATGACAATATTAATCATATGGTACCTTGGTACCTATATATAATATTTTAACTATTATGTATTTATTATTAAAGCAAAAAAAAAAGTATTTATTATTTACTAAAATATTAAGTAGATATACATAGAATTAATATTTTCCTTGTTAATTTTTAAATATTTTCTTTCCTTGT